AGTGGAACATGCAATAAAGGGCTGGTTGACTTATCCCGTCTGCCAGGTGGAGCAGTCAAAAGGCAGAAGATACCTGAAGCATCTTCTTCACGGTAGTCACAATATGTGCCATGGGATGCAGTGAAGAGAACCTATGTCTGTTTGCTAACTCAAAGGTGGTGCATTTGGAACAGGGGGAAAACATGGTAATAAAATCTCCTCCTCCAAATGGTTGGCATTCTCACCTACCCTTGCTCAGAGCACGGGAAGTTAACTTTTTGGACTATAATTCCAGAATCTCCCTGCCAGCATGCTGATTCAGGGATTTGGGAAGCCATAGTACAGAGGGAGGGAGGAAAGGAAAGGAAAAAAGGAAAGGAAAGACGTATCCATGGATTGGATGTGCTCCTCTGTGCTCAAGAGAAAGCAAATGGAAGTTTATACAGCCACTTGCACTAGATTGATCAGTAACTCTCCCGGTCTCCATAGCTGGAAATGTGATGTTGCTTTTGTGGCATGTTCACAGTTTTCCTGTTGAAGGTTTTTGTTGGACACGGGAGGAAACAGAATGCTGGAAGAGGAAGCCTTTGATCTGATCCACAAGGGCTGTTCGTATGCTTCAGTATTCCTCTATTGGCCACTGCTAGCCACCTGAGAAGGTAGCTGTCCTCTTATGGACCTTAGGGCTTGTCCAGCCACACCAACACATTTCTCACATTCAGACCCAGCTCAGAAATGTGGTCAGGTTTATCCTAAACAAGTTACATTGTCATGGTGCTTAATATATGACTTGAACTGCACCACACTTTCACAGTTGTACACATAGATCATTGAGGATGCCTGAATAAAACAGATAAGTATATCTAGGTTGGAGTTGACATCTGTTCACCCCTTCCTTTTTTCAGCCCAGGAATTTTTCAGTTTCATCATTCACCTTCCTCAGAAATTTAGCCCAAGTGCCGAGTGAAATGTAAGGCTTATGGCTAGCAAATGTTTTGCTCTAATTCCAATAATCTCAAACAAACCATAAATAAGGCATAAATTAATTTGAATAACAGACAATGATACTGTTACTACTATAAAAATGTAAAAATAGTGTGTACACTTAAGTTAAAACATTTGTTTCGCCTCATGTGATAAATACTCTTGGTCCAGGAAAAACGTTCAGGGATTGTTGGGCGTGGTTAGATTCTGGCCATTTTAGCCTTCTCTGAAACTGTGGCAGCTGGTTCACTCTCATTTTAGAGATCTAGACAACGTGGTTTAATATTTTCTCTGTACTTTTCCTCCCATGTTTTCCCCAGCCCTGATCTGTGGTGAGTAGGGAGGTGTTTGTAATAATATTTTGTGGACAGGTAAGCACTGCTGAGACTTGCCGGGGAGGGGGGAGAGCTCCTATGCCGTTTATTAAGTTTCTTGTTAGTGAGTACACTAGGTTGATTTTGTGGATCATAGTTCTGGGAATTAGTGATAAATAGGCTATTAATTGCCCCTTGAATAGCCTCTTTTATTTGCCCTAATGTCAGTTTCTTTCCCTCTAGGGTAGGGGGTGGTTTTATTTACTTATTTCCTTGCATGGAAATCTGCCCCCCCCATCCTTTAGGATTAGAAACAGACAATGGAGCAATTAAGAGAAGCTATTCATGGGGCAATTAACAGGCTATTCATCATTAATCCTCTAGCCTTGATTATGTTGAGAATAAAATGAGAACATAAAAATAGCAATAAAATGAGAACATAAAAATAGCTATGCTGGATCAGACCAAAGCTATCAAGCCCAAAATTTCATTCCCATAGTGACCAACCTGATGCCTCTGGGAAGTTCACAGGTATTTGAATAACACTCCTGCTCTCATTCCTTAGGGACTGGTACACAGACAGACTCTCGTGTCTTAATTGCTAACACAGTTGCTAATTTTTAGACACAAGTACAGTGGTGCGTCGCTAGACGATGATAATCTGTTCCACTGAAATTGCTGTTTAGCGAAATCATTGTCTAGCAAAACGCATTTCCCCATTGGAATGCATTGTAACCTGTTTAAGGCATTCCAATGGGGGAGAATCGTCATTGTCTAGCGAAGATTGGCCATAGGAAAGCCGCTTTGCAAACCACCGATCAGCTGTTTAAATTGCTGTCTTGCGAAGCTTAGGTCCCAAAAAGACCTGTTTGCGAGCGCGGAGGGAGCTGTCAAAATCGTCGTCTAGCGAAAAACGGTTTGTGAAGCAGGGACCAAACATTGTCCAGCTATAGCAATCGCAAAAAGCCAATGTTTAGCAAAAAAACTGTCATGCGGGTTAACTGTTTAGCAAGGCACCACTGTACAGTAGCCCTGTCCTCCATTAATTTGTCCACTCCTTTTTAAAAACTCTGATGAACTTGGATACATTCCACGGTAGCAAACTCTGTTGTTTAAATATGTATTGTATGAAATCTTCCCCTTTATCCATCCTTTTTCATCCACCTCTTATCTTCCTTGGATTACCTGGATCCTGCTGTTAATGAGAAAGAAGTTCTGGTCCACCACCTCTGTCCTGTGAATATTTTAGAAGTTCAGAGCTGGAAGGGACCCTACGGATCATGGAGTCCAGCCTCTGTCAAGGAGGCACAAATGGGGGGAATCCAACTCCCAACCTCTGGCTTCGCAGCCAGATGCCTACATCTCTGTAGGCAGAAATTGTTTTGTTCATTTTGGAAAGACCTGTAAGGAGCAGGACTTAATTCTAAGTAAACATTGCAGAAAGATCTCAGTCATAAGAAAATATGCCATGATATACCCCTACATGTAGGATTATGAGGAACCTCGGTTTCTTTTCCACTTCCAGCAAAAATGAAAAAGCAACGGCTCAGCGTCTTTAAGTGGTTCTAGTGTGGAAGCAAGCATAGTTAGTTGCTTTACCATTTAGAAGTAGTCTCCGACTCTCCACCCCATTCCTATCCTGTGCCCCTAATATTATTAGGCCCCTTTGACACACCCTCAGAGGGTGTGTCATTTTATGAAAAAAAAAATGGGATAAACTGCAGCAGCAAATTTGTGCTTATAAACTAGGTGCTGGTTCTGGATGCATGTAAGAACACAACCAGCACCTCATTAATTTGCTGCCATAGGTTACACTGTTTCACTTATGGACATGTAAATCAGCAATTGGTTTCCAGCCTACATTGATCTCTTTTTCTCCATTTAGAAGGATAGTTACATTACAGAGTAAGAGCACTGCCATAACCACTTTAGCTGTCATTGATCCATCCCATAAAACTTTTGTATTTACACTTTGGTTAAGGATTCAAAAATCTGGGCTGGAGAACGGCACTTCCCTGAGCTAGAGTGAAGGGATTGTCACGCGCGCGCGCGCACACACACACACACACACACACACACAGAGAGAGAGAGAGAGAGAGAGAGAGAGAGAGAGAGAGAGAGAGAGAACAAATCCCAGGGTCTTGTACATGGGAGTCATGGCAGTTTAAAATGGGTATCAAACTGATGTAACTGTATAAGGTAGATCCTCTCTGGGTATTTCCTCCACAGGGAGGATTCACGAGAGTGCTATGTAGCTATTCCACCTTCCTCTCCTTTGCTGACATATTATAGGAAGAAAGGAGATCGAAGAAGTGATGGGAAACCATAGGAAATCTCCTGACCAACATAGGAAACAGATACATCCAGGCTCTGCATAAAATGCCATTAACAAGTCAGACTGATTACATAATAAACGTGCCATATGGAAACCTTCTCTCTGTCTGAGGAAATCCTAATCCCAACTCCTTGGGGTTGTTGTTGTTGTTGTTGTTGTTGTTGTTTTTAAAAGCTGACTGTGAAATTGGTCTCATGGTTTGATCCAATCAGTTTATTTTTCATTCCAGGATAACATGACTTCTACATCTAATTCCTGTCAGGAGAGACAAAACAGCTAGAATGTATAAATTTCTATTCTCTTTGTCTTTTCTATCAGGAAACATACTGAACTGAATATGGTCATGAATGTTATCACGATGGTAAATGACTCACCTACTCATTTCAGACGAAGGATTACTTTATTTTAAAAACCTCTGAACTTTGAAAGCTTGGCATGTCAAAGGATTTTCAATGGGGAGAGCCAGTGACAATCATGCAGAGAAGTCACTATTGTTATCACTGTCCTGCTGCCTTCCGGCACCTGATCCAGCTGTATTCTCTTTGGGTCCCTTTCAGCAGCTGGACTGAGAAAGATCTGCAACTCTCCATAGTTGTCATCACCAAAGCCAAGAATAATCCCATCATAACTCGTCTTATCTTCAATACATTGTTCTTGTTACTACTGTATTATTATTATTTAATTTGCACTGACCTATGGGGGTTCAGGCTTTGAGCTTGTCTTGGTCTATGGCTCACTGTTCCATTTGTTCAAACTGATTGATTGACTTGTAGGAATAATGATTGGCATATTTTATATTGTAGGCCACCTTGAAAGGTGCCCCAGATATGTACTTAATAAATAAATAAGGATTAATGAATAGATTGGTTGAGCCCTTCCTTGATCTCAGGAAACAGAAATGCCCAAAGGAAGCATGTGGGCAAATAGGTGCCTCCCATGGAATATCATAACCACCACTCCATATGTGTAGATATTGTTATCTGGTCCAGGATTTGACATCCTGAGTATATTAGCTCTTTTTCTCTTTTTAAAGAATAGATTTCTAGCAGCCAGGAAGTGCTAGGGAAAACCAGGATAAATATATGTACACTTGCACACTGTTGCCATGTGCATCATTCCTCATACCCCTCCAGTTCAAGCTGCTACAGAATTTACATTCATTCATTCATTCATTCACTCATTCATTCATTCATTCATTCATTCATTCATTCATTTAGCACCTCACTACATGGCATGTGAGACACCCCTTCAGCTGCAGCCTTGCGCTGAGAAACAATTCTGGTACCTCAAATGACGCTTTGGTAATTCACCCCAAGATTGAATATTCCCAGGCGATCATCTGGTTTTGACTCTTGAGTAAATGTGTTTCTCTCGTTCTGTCTCTGCAGGGCAACCAGGACGCCACGGCTCCACCTGACGCGATGGCCCAGCCCTACCCGCCAGCCACGTACCCTCCGCCCCCGCAGAATGGCATCCCTGCAGAGTACGGACCTCCACCACACCCGCACCCCGCACAGGACTACTCAGGGCAGAGCACAGTACCTGAGCATGCCTTGACTCTCTATACGCCAGCACAGAGCCACACCGAACAGCCAGGCACTGATGCCAGCACGCAATCCATAGCAGGCACACAAACAGTCCCGGTAAGAACAGACTCCATGCAGAGATTGCAGTCTCTAGTGGCAACCTGTCCTGGCTTAGCACTGGCCTGTGCACTGGGGGGTATGGACTGGCTGAAGAAAGCAGACTGTCTGGTGGGAAAGGGGGAGAGGGAATCTCTCTCCAAAATACAATTGGGTGGTGCCCACATTGAGTTAGATGTGAAGTCGGAAGATACTGTAGATCTTGGCTAGGGAAGCAGACCGTGCTAGAAGCTTTACTGATTCCAGACTTGGGGGAACCCTTATGGGCAAAGGGCAGGACTCAAGGAGCAAGTCAGACCTCCTCCTGGCTTGTCTGCCTTACTCCACCTTAGATCCTGAGGACCGGAGATTGTGGGTCAGGGTCAGAATGGAGCAGGGCTGCAATAGCAGAGGGCTTGTGCAGCGGGAGGCCAGTTTGTGCGCAGAGGCAATTCCAGCGCCTCTCTGCCCCCATGGGCATTTGTGGCTCAGTGCTAAAGTTTCCTGGCTCCCCTCGTCTCCCTAATCACTTGTAATCTACCTGCTTGGCTGCTTGCCAATCCCATTGTGCCAGTGATGTGGTTGTAATGCAGCTCAGCAAAGAAGTGCTGAGTGAGCAGTTTCCAGCTGCTCCTCTCAGTCCCTGAGTGCCAGGCTGGCTGTTCGCCACCACCCGGCTAGGGAAGGCAGCTCTGCTGCCCTGCCTGTGTGTATCTGCCAGAACAGGTGTGAGCTTAGGGTCAAACCCACACTTTTCAGTGCTATCGCCCCTCTCCTCCCCCCCCCATATGTATCTACACCAGTGCTTTTCCCACTTATATTCAGACATACAGTCGTGATCAGTTATCCTTAGAAAATCCTTGAAAATGCCCTGCAAGGTAGGCTGGCCTTTTATATTGGATAGGTTGAGTCTAAAAGAGTAAAGGCTTGGAAAAGGCCCAATAGTGGATTCGTAGATGATGTGAGATTTGAACTGGGCCACAGCTTCCCAATGTCCCCTGGGCCAAAGTCCTATGCCATTGTGCTGGTCCCTCCTCCAGCCCGTTCCCTAGAGCTGAGTTGGGCCATCTGGGGTGAGCGGCCACCAATCCCAGTGGATGCCAGTGGCCTGTGGCAGCAGGTGAGGGAGAGCTCAGAGGGAGGAAGGGAGGGAGGGAAATAGGGAGGGGTAGCTGAAGAGGAGGCAGCAGTGGAATGATGGGCAGGTGAGGGGAAGCCCTCTGGAAGCAATCCAGACCTTTGGCAAAGAGGTGAGAAATGGGAGGGAGGAATAGACGTGGAGGCCGGATGTTATGGGAAAGGGTTACACTTCTTAAGAGCATTCCAGTGACTCTGCTGGCCAGGGTGTGGTGCCCACGAAGATAATTTTACCAATTTCTGATTAAAAGGTTAGCATTGTGTGATGCAGAAGATTTTTTTTTTACATCCTCAAAAACCATTTGCCCCAAACAAAATCCAGCAGCCAAACAGAGGTACACTTGCAGTGATCCCACACCTCTGCTGTCTGCCTTTGCAGTGGAGGGTAAGAATTGTATGCGTGCAGACACATGGGCGTGTGTGGACAAACGCACACACAAATCGAAGTTGAAAGAGGGAAGGAGTCACAATGGAGTTCTTATTTCCTTCCCGCAGCAGACAGATGAAGCGGCACAGACAGACAACCAGACGCTACACCCGTCGGAGAGCGGCTCTGACAAGCAGCAGCCCAAACGGTTACACGTTTCCAACATCCCTTTCCGCTTTCGGGACCCTGATCTGCGGCAAATGTTTGGGGTGAGCCCTCCTGCTTCCTCCTTGCCTAATAACCCAACAAACTGGCTCTCTGTGGAAGGTGCTGGGACTCAGGCAGGCAAAGGCAAATGCTGCTGGGTCAAAAGGTCATGGTCAGCCATTCCTGCCCACAAGCGGTCGGGTCATCGGCACCTCTCCTCCACAGACCATTGCCGTGGCATCTCCTAATAGCACACATGGGGCCTCTCACTCTCTTCCTTGCCCTTGAGTCTCTGGTCCAGAAATGCCATGGCAGGCACAGTTCCCTTCTGGTTCCTCTCTTATATCCTGGGACCTACAACCAGCAAGATGGACCTTTCTCGTTTGTCTTAGCATTGGAGAAAAGCTAGCATTGCTCCTTGGCAATAGATGAGATGGTTGGACTTGGGACTGATCGGTCTTGTTGCTGCGCGGCTCCCGGGGTCGGAGAGGGATCTCAGCAGCTCCTGGGAAACAGAGAGGCATCTCTTAACTGTTGTGACAGGCCCCTGGATTTGTACCGATGTAATAAATGCCTCCTAATTTCAGAGGTTGCCTGCAAATCTTGCCCACTGAAAATAAATCAGAGTTTCAAGATCCTGTTACTAGGCTGAAAGGGCTGTCGACTCCAAACCTCCCCCCCCCCCCTTCTCTCACTTCC